GCGTGCGTGAACGCGCTGATGACGTATTCTGTCTGCGCGAACAGGGTGCGCAGAGTTATGCTAATACATATGTTGACAGGCAGGTAGGAAAGCAAATTAAAACTCTCGGACCGAGCGTTTTGATTGGACGAACATTTCTTTGTCCTACGGCTTCCACAGAATATATAAATACAGATAAATACATTTAGACCACTTAACTTAATGATTGCTATCGGGATGTGAAGAGACTTTCAACCAGCATAACAAAAAATGTTTCTGAAGACAATCACCTATTGCACCTTTAAGCCCTGCTTTATGCAATTGACCAATATCGGTATTGGAATTGGCCAATAGTTGTTTGTTAAAATCGTTATCGTATCGGCCCCCCAAAAATCCTATCGGTGCATCCCTAGTTTTAAGTCAGGTTTAGTTTTTATTTATTTCTAGTTGATAATTTTAGTCCTTCAATTTATTTTAATTAGGTGCCAAAGGAATATTTCAAATTTTAAAGTTTTTAATCTAATATGTATATAATATGTAATAATAAAATTATTATTAATAATAACTCTTAATAATATATTTTATTTTAACTTTATCTTAACTGACAACAAAAAACATCACAACATGCACATCCTGCGACTGCCTACATTGTTTCTGATGCACAAATTCCTTCTTACCGGCTAGCGGTCAGACTGGTGCCGATGGACCACTTCCTCTACACCAACCTGCCCAACCCGCTGTTGAGGAAGAACTGGCCTTTCTTCAGCGCGTCCTCCCTCTCTGCTGGGGCGCTGAGGGTCTGACAGCGCCGGAACTCTCGGGTCACTGCGCGCCGGTAGTAGTCACGGTCTGTGTACTGTAGGTGTTGGCCTGCACGGAGCAATGCTCGGTACAGCTGCAGCACGGCACTGCGGGACCAGCTGCCCATCAGGGAGAGCTCAGAGCGGGCAGAGACAGACGTCTCACACACGCACCTGCAAAAGAAAGTAAACACTTTAATACCACCCTACACTGGATGAGAAAAGGTCATTGACCACACAAAAGTGCTGTGGTTATGGTTGTCATAATGCTATCCGATTCAATAAACAGTAGAGACAACCAAACCACATTCAAATCACCACAATTCAGTGCTCTTCTTCAAACAAGGACAGTGTAGAATTAAAAGAAAATAGCATCTGGTCTAAAATATCTTTGGTCAAAGCCATGGTGACTAAAAACTTCACTGACCCCGACAACTTCTGTAACCCGAAATGAAACGCGTTGATGGGCGAGCTCGTTCTCGCTCTGGGGGTGCGTTTCCCGAAAGCAACTATGGTTGCAAGTTCCGTCGTTACAAATAGAATTCAATGGAACTTTCGACCATAGTTCGTTAACGATGCTTTCGGGAAACGCATACCTGGTTGATGTGAGCGCGCACTCTTCCTGGAGAAGTGCCAATACAAGGAATTCCGCCCTTTATGACGTCATACAGGGCCATACTCTGAAAAAAAATTCCGAAATGTATGCGAACCCTGAAGGAGTGTATTTGGCACAGAAATACCCCATCATATGTCCAACTCATTTTTTGAAACTTTGGCCATGTTTAGCATGAGAATCCAACTCTTTAACAGTGTAAATAAGTCAGATTGCATGAAATAGCATTAGACCCTCCCCTTTAATGTTTTTGTGGAAAATACCAATCATATTATTAACAAATCATACTAACCCCAAACATTAATGTACCTGAATTGCAAGAAAGATGAGCTCTTCTTCAAACAAGGACAGTCCACAATGTGTCCTTTGTTTTGGATATTGACATTGCTATTGACCCGTTTCAATGTTATAATATTTGTTTGTTTTTAGGTTAATGCCATATATGCCTTAGTATAAAAATGCTTGAATGCTTTAGAGAGGACTTGCAATAGTTCCTTTGTGTACTTCAAGATAGGATGAATAAGCAGCAGTTGGGAAAGTTAGGTTTCGGAGTTTGATGCTCTGTAATCAGCCACAAAGATTAACAAGAGGGTACTCGGTGGTGAAGAGAGCATGTTGCAACATCAAGCGCAGATGAGACAGATGAAGACTGCAGTGAAAAAGTGGATGAGTGATTGTGCTGGGAGATAGAACGATAAAAAGAATTATTGTGATACAATTCTCCTCGATAAAATGATAACGAGTTCGGTAAATGTTCGATATAATCACTGATAAGTCTCGGTCACGCGAGCACTAAACAGCGCTGTGAGATCCAGCGTGAAGTGCTTGAATTCATTTGAAACAATATCACTCAGAACATGCAGATTTTATAATTAAGATATTTATTTTGTTTAGGAAAACAAAAATAAAGTATTTGTCATGTTCTGCCAATAGAGCAGTTTAAAACCACAGTTAATAGTCTGGTTTCTACAACTTTCACTTGGGAACAAAAATCTGCCTTGGAAAACTTGGAAAAAAAATAAAAGTTTGAAACTTGTCGTGATTATCGATATCGACTTACATGAAAAATTATATTGTGATAATTTTTTTGGCCATATCGCCCAGCCCTAATGACAGATGCTGTAGAGTTTTTAGGTTTTTGGATTCCTGCAGGCAGCAGAGGAGATACCCAATCAATAAAAGAAAGGACAAATCAGTTTAAAAAGCCAGACAGTTAGGGAGGTTCAACAGATAATAGGTATAATGGGACAAAGTGTGTCAGAAGAGAAAAGTAGACTTGGTAAAAAGTACAGTAGTCAATCGTTAAGGATGAACAGGCACACTGGGGATACATTATAAAACAAATAGAACAGGAGAAAGATAGAAAAAAGGGAAAAATAGAAGGAACAGCTCAAACAGCAGAGGTCAAAGCTGTGGCTGAACTAATAAAGAAATTAAAAGAATTAGGCATAAAACAGGCTATAATAATAACAGACAGTAAATATGTTGAAGTAGGAATGAATGAGCATTTGGACATCTGGAAAGAAAATGGTTATACAAAAAGTAAAGGAAAGCCTATGGAGCATCTGGAAGGAAATAGAGCAGAATATGGTAGGAATGGACCTTACTGTTATACATCAAGTTGATCAACCAGGACATATTACTCCATCCCAAAATTAAAATTCTGTCATTAATTACTCACCCTCATGTCATTCCAAACCCGTAAGACCTTCGTTCATCTTCGGAACACAAATTAAGATATTTTTGATGCATTCTTGAATAGTGTACCTTGTAGTTTACATTTAGAAAAGCGTGCACAGCGTACCTGTTCGCGCACCTGTGCGTATAACAGACTGTCATCGGACTCCTCCTCTTTAGTAACGTCATCATCCGATCCTTCATCTTTGGATGTGAAACAGTCCATTATAACATCGTTTAGGGCACTGACATCACCAAGATTGAGCAGACTAGCAAGATCATAAGTGAGCAGCTACTTTAGACTGCGTTGTTTTCTTGTGCTCCGCTATTTCACGATATTAAAAAACAAATAAATAAAAAAAACTTTGCGTGCCGTAGTTTACACAGGACTGGCGGGAAATGTGCCTTTATTATATACCGTATTGGCCCGAATATAAGACGACCCTGATTATAAGACGACCCCCCTTTTTCCAGATGTACCTTTTGGAAAAAGGCTTTTTAAAAACCAAATCTTGCTTTTTCTCAGTAAAACACATTTTGTCTTCAATTATTTTCATATTGCATATTTTTCCTATTTAAATTTTTGTTTTGAAAGTATGGTAAAAACTGGTAAAATGTACCAACAATCACATTTAAAAAATATACACTTTATTCTGATTACGTCAGTTTGACGGCTTGGGCAGAATATGCTTAAACACCCCTCCAACCGTTAGATTGCTATGAGTGAGAGACAGAGAGGAGGAGCGCAAACATAAAACCATGCCCTCTATTCAATATTCCGTTTCAGCTGGAAATACGTCACTACACTGAAATAAAGTCGGCAGCAACTTCCGGTTCACGCGGACTTTAACTGTTTTTGTGGTGTTAAGAGAAAGCACCTCAGACCTCCGCAGCGCGTTCTTAACATAAGAGAAAGACACAGTCTTTTGTGCTTGCTGCAATAAATCGCTATTTTTCTGCACTAAACAAGTGAATTTTGCCAAGATATTTTAAGAGATGATAGACAAGATGTTATAGGATAATAATTTAATGAAAACCTAATTTTGACAAAAAAATTACAACCTATTTTTCGATTTTCCTGAAAACGTCCCAGCGCGACATCCGACGGGTTTTCCCAGATCGCATGACATTTATTTATTACTTGGAATTTTATAAATGGAATTTGTAAACATTTCCTTGTTTGTGCAGTCTTAACTTATTTGGTGAAAAGTCTGATAAGATTGTTACTATACAGCCCACTGATTGTTTTATGCTTGAAAACATTTCGTAAATGTTGTAATTCAATAAACACTCAAGAATACCCTCCTGTTCTGTCTTCATTGCATTGTACCAGTGTTTTAGACTTATGCTGCATCCCAATTAGCATACTAACCGTCCTAAATAGTATTCGAAAATAGAATTAGTATGTCCCAAATCATAGTATGCCAAAGATTCCCGGATGGTCTACTACTTGAGATTAAAATTCGAAGTGCAGATCGATGCACACTCTAGCGGCTAATAATGCCCACAACACATTGCGCGGTGGACGAGGATATGATTAGAACTACAAATACGCATAATTTTTTTTTTTAACTACAAACATGGCAGATATGCGAGACCGACGGACAGGCAGAGAAAGGGGTTGGAGTGATAAATAAATCAATGTCTAACCTGATTAAAAACATTTATTTAATGTTATGTGCGTTACATTTCATCTGCAGCAACATTGTGAATTTTATACGTTTGGTCATTAACTTTTAAATGCATCATTATGCATACATATGAAGAGAGTTCTCGTCATGATAGACCCGCGACTGGCAGACCATCGTGCCTCTTCATTTCTCTCCGATACGGTAGGAAATTAAACGAAATGTGGATTTTGTTAACTGCGAAAAGATGATTGACAGTGCAGTTTAAACAGTGACAGAATGCAGTAACTAAGCAACAGAGCGTCTGTTAAAGATGCAGTTATGACGAAGTAGTATGTCCCAAAGCTTGCCTACTATTCTGCTACATACTCAAAAGTATGTACTTTTTCTTCACAAAAGAGTACATACTTTTAGGGCATAGTATAAGTACGCGAATTGGGACGCAGCATTAGACTTTGAGTTAGATTTCTTACCTGACATCAAATTGAATGAGTGGAATAAACTTAAAATCTTTGAGTTGAGTTTGATTGACTAAACAACACTTAAAAATATAAGTGATTTTAACTCAATGTATGAGGTAGGGCTGGGCGATTTGATCGATTAATTAGAATTTAATGTTTTGCCATGATTTTATTTTTTAGAAATCGAGGAATCGCGATTTTGAATAGAAATATTACCAAATGTTAGAATTAGACACTTTGACAATATGCCGGTGATAACAGTAAAAAGAAAAGAACCATCCAACCGCATGTCGGCGCACGTGATTAACCGCTCAAGTGTGACACGCTCTGTGAAGGACCATAAATATAGCGCTAAGCGCCATTCACACAGAATGCGCTTTTGTGTTGACAAAGATGCGACGCGGGCAGTGGAATAGGAAAAACATGCAAGAAGATGGGAGTGAACTTCTTTTATCTTGAGCGCAGTGTTTTTAGAAAGCCGTTTCATGCATGAGATGCTGCAAGAGACGTGAGCGCAACAGTCAAACACATCCATGTTTACACAGAAAAAACTATGGAAAAGCAGCGCAATCGAATAAAAAACCTGTAAAGAACTACTACTGTATGTCTGATATTTCATGTTTGCATCATGGTGACAGGCTGAAAGCTGCTGTT